GTCAGGCTCAAGGCAGAGTTCGCCAGGTGGCGTCCCCAAGGCTTGGCTGCCAGGAGGCTGGCTGTGCAGTCTGCTCCATGCTCCCCACGGCTGCTCCAGGGATGTGGGGAGGGGCAGTTGGGTAGAGGTCTGGGAAGACTCTGGTATGTTTTCCTTTGGAGGTAATTTAGTCTGAAAGAATGGAGTCTGAAAGATAGGAGTCTGCCTGGGCTGAACTAGTGTCTACAAAGGCACCAAGGGAAACTGGAGAATCTCTTCTCTTTTCCCCCTTTGAACTTGAAAATAGCACTGCTGAGCATATGTTCTCGCACCTGAAGTTATCATTGAATATATGTGTTGGGGGCAGGGCCACTGAGCTGACGTGAGAATGCCCCAATTGTCTGTTGCTTGGTTGTGATGCTAAAGAGAACAGGTAAAGCTTGGAGGCAGGTTTCAAATTCATTTTGTTCCCTTTGGGTGGAGTATGGCACCCTTGTAAGGAAGGCAACCACAGATGGGGCTACAGCTAGTTTCTGTCAGGTTTTTAAAGATGTTGTTATCTTTATTTTTTTATTTTGAAAGAGAGAGCGAGTGAGAGAGAGACATCATCAGTCTGCTGATTCACTCCCCAAATGGCTGCAATGGCCAGAACTGAGCTGATCTGAAGTCAGGAGCTCTTACTGATTGTTCACATTGGTGCAGAGCCCAAGGACTTTCCAGTTTTCCTAGAAAGTAGAGCAGTTGTGACACAAACCAGCAACATATGGGATGCTGGTGTTGCAGGCTGAAGCTTAGCCTACCACACTATCACACTTGTTAGTTTTTTTTTTTTTTCTTAACCTCTGCTTCTTTCTTGAGTACCTGTTACTGTTATATGCCAAGAACTGTGTGTGTAAGTGACAGAATAAAGGTGATAGGAGAGGGTCATGTGCTGGGTCGTATGAGCCAGTCCTTGGTCCTCTGTCAGAGCTGGTCCTGCAAGGAGCATTTGCTGTTTCTCTGTCCACACCGTCTTGGCCATGTGTAACAGGTGAATGTAAGACTGTTCCTCACCTCCTCCAGGTGCCGATACAGACACTGCTTCCTGTGAGAGGTCTTGGTTCACTACCTGCTGTAAAAGGCGACCTACACTGCCACCTACCCTGCCTCCCCATTTTTCATGCCAGTTATTCCTTCTCAGTGTTTAATGTCTTTGTGATTTGTATCTCATTGAATATCAAGAGTGTTGTCTCACCTGTTGCTTCTCTCCCCGGTGTCTGGCCTTAACTGCTGCTCAGTTGCTAGGCATTGAAGGGTGGATGGAAGAAGAGCAGTGGCTGAGCTAGATGCTGTTAGGATCTCCATTTGCATCCAAGAAGAAACTGCAATGTATGCAGTTGGATAGAGAAGCAGAGTGGGGTTGGATTCTGTTGTCATCTCCTTTAGTACAGGAAGAAACATTGTTTTTTTTTCCCCATGTCAGCCTGTCTGAAGTGGACTAGCTGCTTATGGTGACAAAGATGGGATCTGGCACAGAAGAAAGAACCCTCCATTTCTGGATGATTCTAGTAAAATTCTCTGGGAAAACTCTGGTTGGTTGTATCTCGATTGCATTTCTGTTCTGAGCCAGTACTGAGTCCAGAGGACTGAGCAATCCCATGTCCTGGCCTGAGGTGGGACGACCGTGGGAGCTAAGGAGGCCATGGGAAGCACCTCTACTGCTCCACGTGCACTGAGGTGAAGTAACCTTCCCCAAAAGACATCTGAAGGGTGCTACAAGCAGAGGAGGGGAAAGGAAGCTGGATAGACAGTGCCTCAGATGGATACTGCCAAAGTTCTGTCTACCAGCCCCCTTTGCCATTTCATTCTGTCAGAATATAGACAACAAATTCAGGTCACTCGTTGCTTCTTGGACCAGGGGGTCAGACAACACTGAGTCGGTGTTCCTGTAGTCGGAATAACACTCCAAATGGTTACCAGGTTGGTGCTCATCCAGGAGTCCTGGCTTGCATCTTGATCCTCACCTAAGTGGGTTTTGCCTTGATAGTAGTGTTGCTCCTTTATCCTTTCTTTTCTTTCTTTTTTAAAAATAAATTAATCTTTTATGTATTTGAATGAGAGAACTCTTCCATCTGTTGCTTTACTCCCCAGATGCCTGTAATATCCAGGTCTGGGCCAATGGAAAACCAAGAGCTCCACTGTCTCCCATCAGAATGTTAGGGACTCAAGTCTCAGAGCTACCACCTGCTGTCTCCAAGGGTGTGTGTTAGCAGGCACCTGGACTCAGGATGGATCAAGGCTGATTCAAACCCGGGCTCTTCAATGTGGGATAGTGGTATTCTAAGTGATGTCTTTTAAAAAGATATTGGGGAAAAAAAAAGATTTGACAGGTAGAGTTAGACAGACACACCTTCCATGTGCTGGTTTGCTCACTAAATAGCTGGAAATGGGTTAGTCCAAAGCTAGAAGCCAAGCACTTGGGCCAGCCTCTTCTGCCTTCCCAGGCACATCAGCAGGGAATTGATCATAAGTGGAGTAGTCAGGAATTGAACCATCACTCCCATTGGATTTTCAGCATTGCAGGTGGCAGCTTTACTTGCTATGCCACGCCACTGGCCCCCAAAGTGGCATGCTAATCACTATACCAGATATCTGTCCCTGTTGCATCAATTTGACAAAAAGAATGGAGAGAACTGAAGTGCATTAAAACTTATGGAAAGAAAACAATAGAAATAAGAATAGAACCTATTGTAAGCCTCTGTATCTCCCTCTGTCCCCACTTTGTGCTGAGGATTGGCGAGGGAGGAAAGCACGTGAAGGATAAGGGGCTGACGCTAAGAGGTGGCCAAGTGGAGGCCAAGTCCCCGGCTTTGTTCTCGCAGCCTCTCAGTGTTCCCAGTGGGCCATCTGGCCAGTGCTTTCGGGTTACTTCTGTTTGTGGTGATTCAAAATGATAACAATCAAAGCAGCCAACATTTATGCAATGTTTGCCTTGTACCCAGTTAAGTGCTTTACAAGCATTTAATCTCATCTAATTCTCCTAACACCCCATGGGGGAGGCCCTGCTGTTGCTTTCATGTTAGAGTTGTGGAAAATGATTTACAGGTTCAGTGATGGGCCCATGGCCACAGCCTACTTTGGGATCTGAACTCAAACACATATGTCTCCAAAGTTAAAATTGTAATTACAGTCCTCCAATGGGCAGCTATGGAGTATCAGGACCTTTGAGATTCTCAGGACTCCTATATTCCTGGGTCTTTGAACCTGCCAGGATGTGTTTGTATGAAGAACCGTGTTGATATAGCTACCACAGAACTTCCACCACGTGTAAACAGTTTGAAATCCCGTTTAATTAAGAGGTACTTTAACAACCACTATTCTGGGCGATCCATCCGTCACAGTTAATGGCCCTACTTAGTTATTTATGCAGCTTGTTTTCCCTTCCCACCTCTTCAATTTCGCCTTTGTTCTTCCTCCTTCTTGCTACTCCACCCTTAGATCTAACTTAGCAGAAAACTTGAAAGGAGGTGTGGCTGAGGAATGATTCAGCGCTCTCTAGAAGTCTCTTTGGGCAGACACAACTTCTAGGAATACAGGCGTGGGTTGAGAAAGGCTGAGCTCTTGCAATGCAGATTCCCCCCAGGTACTCACTTGAGTCTGCGCACTGGATTTGGGTCCCACACACTCTTCCGGGACCTAGGATTTGGTCCAGTTGGTGGACCCAGCTAGATTGAATCAAGCGATGGAGAATCTATTTTTAGTTTCCCTGAACCAGCTGTGTGAGCTTGGGCATGACTCTCCATCTCTTTCATTTTCCCTCCTTGCAAAAAGCATTAAGCCAGTTTGTTAATGTCTCTGGATCTCACATTCAGCATTCAGTGATGCTAAAGTGAGTCACTGAAAGTTGTTGGGTGCGGTATGGTTTCCTGAAACCGCCCAGTGTTCCTTCTAAAAGTTTTAACAATGCCTTGGGTTGTCCCTGGTTTGGCTTCTCCTGCAGGACTCTTTGTAAAACATTTTTAGTATGCGATTTGCTGGGTTATAGTGCAATACTTCGTATGTTTGCATATATGATACTATATACATATAGTCATGAGGGGCATGGAGATGTTGAGGCCTCTGATTTTTTTCCCCTGTACACAGTGTATATTGGTGTTCGATTTGAGGTGTCAGATTTCACTCCAGAAGGATTCACACTTGAGGGTAGAAGGACGAAACTGTGTTGTTCATGAAGATGATGGGAGTGAACTGCTGCTTATTTTTAGAAAGTTCATTGGCTTAATTCAAATGTCAACCTTTCCAGGATTGGATGTTTATTTGTAACTGTCAAAAGTGATTTCAGATGGCAATTCATGTCATTAGCAATGGGGTGAAAAGCAAGGAGAAAAATTAAAGGGGGAAGCAAAATGTCAGCTTGTAGGGTGAACAATCTATTCCCACATGATCTCATGCAAACGCATTGCTGTCTGTGATGATAAATGGTCACTGGAAATGCTGGGGAGGGAGTTGCAAATGTTTTGTGATCTTGTGCCCTTATGTCCTATGTGGTCAATAATGCTTAATTCATATGCCTCTTTTTCTTTGTTCCTCAGGGTGTGGTTTCCTATTAATTTCTTCCTCTGCTGGGAACCCTTGCTTAACTCATATCCAGTGTTTGATATCTGCAGAAAAGGAGTATTGGCTTAGGTGTTGGTGTGTATAAATCAACCAGAATATTTTAACCAATATTCTTGCAGGATTCCAGTTTGCTTGGCTCTTTACAGCCTTATCTGATTCCAGGATGGTGTCTTTCCGGACAGATGTGAAACTCTTCTTGCTACATGCACAGTGGAAAGGGAGCTTGGCCCCTTAGCTTGCATGGATGGTTTTGGGTGAAGGTAAAACTGAGAGCTCCAAAGCTGAGCATCCTTGGGAGCTTGCATGTGCGTGATCATCATGCAAGAGCACACTGCATTGTGTGTGTGTGTGCTGCTAACACTGTTCTTCCTTTTTCTCCCCCTCTCTCTCTCCTCCCATTCCCTCCCTTTGAAATGCTGCCACAGATGTCAGTCAAGGTCCAGGTGAGTCTTTGTGTTTGCATAGCTGCTGTGGGCATTTTCTCTTTGGATGGTGCATGGTTTGACTCTGAGTGAGAACTTTTCCCAGGGTCAAAACTCCAAGCATCTTGCATTTTCACTGATGTGGGTTTTGAAGAAGAAATGCCTTGAATCGACAGATTTGTATGGGTTCTGAAGAACTGCTTTAAAACCGGGGGAATGTGATTCCCATACTTCTGTAATTGCTTCCTTCTGCTGAATATTTGTGGGGTGAATCAAAGCATGTTTTCAAAAATATTTTAAAGATGCATTTAATATGCATTTTAATATGCATTAGATATGCATTTTTGAATTCATATTTTCTATGGCTTCTTGAGGTTACAGAATTGTACTTTGCATGGAAACTGTGATGTGGGTGAAAAGTTTCTTTCTTCTTCTAATAATTGTGTTTTCTTTCTCACAATGAAATTAGAAATATTTACCATGTAAGTAATACATGCTCACTGTTTTTTAGAAAATTAACAAATAGAAAGAATAGTGTGAATGGTTTTGACAATAGAATTATTTTGATGTTATGCGTTTCTCTTTTCAGAATTAATATTCAGAGCCTAATTGTAAGTGTGTGTATGTACGTTAGGCATATAGGTATGCACACATAGGTATGCAATCCTATGGTATAGTGCAACCTTTTATAGACAAGAAGTATCAGAAGCTTTCGAATTGCTGAGACTCTTCTAAACCGGCTAAAAGTTTAACTTAAGAATAGCTAAGTCTAAATAGGGATGTCATCTTAGTATTTTTACATTGTTTTTATTTAGTTCATTTGACATTTAGTCCTATAGCATCAGTACAAGGTATGAATTGTTCTAGCCATTTTAAGGTGCAGGATACTCAGGCTCCTACATTAGGTGTAAGGAATTCTGCCTAATGTGACAGAGCTTGTCAGTGGTAACGCTGGGACTCGTACTCAGGACCTTTTATTGTAAAACTTGTGCACACTCCAGTGGAACAAAAGGGCCCATCACAGGAAATTTCTCTGTGACTGAAAATCTGGTAATTGTTTCCCAGTGGGACCATTCATTAGCTATTTATTTTTGCTGAGAGATAATGTAGCATTTTCTGTACCAGTAATCCTCTTTTCAAATAAATATAGCCTTTACTCTTTAATTTTTTTTAAAAAATGAATTTATTTAAAAGGAAAGGGGAAAGGGGGAGAGAGAGAGAGAGAAAGAGAAAGAAAGTGAGAAAGAGAGAAAGAGAGAATAGACTGATATTCTGCTTGCTGGTTCATTCCCCAAATACCTGTAACAGCTGGGGCCGGGCAGGGCCAAAGCCAGGAGCTTAGGACTCAAACGGGACGTCCTACTTCAGTATCAGGGAGGTAACCAAATATTGGGGCAATCATGATTTATACAAGCTGGAGCCAGGATCAGAAGCAAAGGTGGGTCTCTAATCCAAGAACTACAGTACAGAATGCAAGTGTATGAACTAGCTTCATAACCACTGCATCCAGTGCTCACCCACTTTGTTGTTCTTGACTCTCCCAAACAGCCACTAGAATCCTTCTGCTTTTGTTCTCACCGGAATGCTGCACGGGAGAGCAGGGCAGTTACCCCTAGCTAATGCATCTCATCTGTTTTTTGTCCCTGCCACCCCCTCTGAAAAGAATTGATGTTTGAACCAAAGCTCAGAACTGTTTCCTAGGAATACTCAATGCATTTTTTTTCTGTTTAATAATATTTTAGCTCAGTCAGTCACTCGAAAATATTTATGTACCAGACATTATTCTAGGCACTGGGGACAAAACAGAAAATAATGTGTACTCTCATGAATGCTGTATTCTCGGAGGCGAGCAGGGAACTGAAACACACAGACACACAGACACACACACAGACAGACAGACACACACACACACAGACAGACACAGAGACACACACACAGACATACACACACAGACACAGACAGACAAACACAGAGACACACACACACAGACACACAAAGAGACACACAGAGACACACAGAGACACACACACACACACACACACACACAGATATTTAAAAGTTCCTGGAAGATAGGCTTAAAAAATAGTTGTATTTTGGTGCCTTAATGTTTTAAAACCCATATAACTGTTCATTGTATACATTTATTTTGTGTGTGTACTCACACACACACACATATGACTATATATACCAGCATATATGGAATATGTATATTTCATACATATAATAGCAGGGGATGAGTGGTGTTTTTATAATTTATTCCCTAATTTATTTATGTATTTAAAAGAGTTACAGAGGGAGCAAAATAGAAAGCAAAATAGAAAGGGAGAGATGGAGAGAAATCTTTCATCTGTTAGTTGACTCCAGGGGTAGGCAAGGCCATTGTGGCATTTGAGGAGTCAACTAACAGATGGAAGCCAGGAGATCCATCCACTTGAGTTCAGGGCCCCAAGTACTTGAGCCATCTTCTACTTTCCCAACTGCATTAACAGGGAGCTGGTTTGGAAGGAGATCTGCTGGGACTTGAACCAGTTATGGATGAAAGAGAAGCCCCTAATTTGTGGAGGGAGGTCAGGAAGATCTCCAAGAGAATATTTGCCGAGAGGTGAGGGAGCAAGTTGAGGTTCTTGCCAACATGCTTTTTGGCTTACCTGCCCCCACTTGGTTCACAGAGGAGATGTGACCTGGATCACCACTTACTGCTGTGCAATATGACTTAGGTTGGGTTTGTTAACTGAGGAGAGGAGTGGGGGCTGGGTTCCAGCTTCCGCACTTCTCCTATTGGGCCTGCGTCTGAGAAATGCCTTGAACCACAGAGTCCTTTTCCTAACTGAAACAAAGGCACTGTGTTGGTCTTGGGTGAATTAGCAGGGTGGAATGTCTAGGTGTCTAGGTCTTCTTATTTCTGGTCAGAGGGTGGAGGCGCTCAGATGACAGTGACTGTAATGAATCCCACACAGCAGCAGCATTCTTACTCTGAGGCCATCATCTCGTTGAAGCTCGTACTCACCCTTTGAGATGTGTAGTCCAGGCCCCGTGTGAATGCTGATGAGCTGGAGGCCCGAGGAAATGCATCGATGTGCTGAGTCCTTGGGCTACCAAGGAGCAGGTGCAGCAGAGGATGCAGTTGAATTCCACACCTTGCTCTCTTCCTTCTGCCCTTGAACTGTTTAAGGCAGATTGCCAACCCTCTCACCCCACCATCCCCTTGCTTCTTTGTGGACTTTGGAACCTGAAGCACTTCACTGGTTCCGATGCTTCCCTGGATGTGGCAGGAGGTTTGCCAAGCAGACCCAGCCCTGGCAGAGGTCAGTGGGCAGCCTGCAGCCTGGCTTAGCCTCTGGCCAGGCAGCCTGGAGCCAGCAGGGCTGTGACTCTCAAAGCAAGGAGACTTGAGTGCTTCTCCGATTTTTTTTCTTTTTTTCTCCTCAGGAAGACAAATTGGGGATTTTATGAGCTAATGTAACTATTTACCCAGAGGCCGCTGGAAGACTATAAAGGGCTGATTGATTAATTGATGAATTTTACAGGCTGAGGAGATTGGGTGGAAGTAACCCTAGTGTAAAATGCAGTCTGCAGCGGTGCCTAGTGTGCGGAGACGGGGCCCAGTGTACAGGAAGTGGGATGGGGACAAAGGGAGGCCCCAGATGCCCTGCAGAAAAGGGGCAGGCACATTCTACTTGTCTTCCATGTGGGAAAATCCACAGAGAAGGAGGTGCTGAAGAATCAAAGCAACAAGAAGCCTTGGTGAGGGGCAAAGCCAGGCAAACTCAGCTCTGACACCTGCTCCTCCATTACATATCCCTCAGGAGGCATTCCTGCCTCTGGGACTTCCTGGCACTTGCCTCCAGGACCTCGTGTTAGTGGGGAGACTAGGATCTCAGATCCGTGCATCCCCAAGGCTCTTCTCACTAAGAATGCTGGATGCCAGGCCTGGGTACCAGTCCTGCTTGTGTTCCTCTCTCATGGTGGACGGCACCTAGGACAACTTCACATATCTTTGTTGAACAGAAAGTGTGGCCACGGTGAGTAGGGAGAGGAGATATGTGGCAGCTTAAGGATGTGCAACTCTTTTTTCTTTTCTTTTTTTTTTTATTAGGAGGATACTGAAGCCCAGAGGGTGCAGGTGACATTGCCAAGGCCAGGCCACTTGTGTGTATGTGTTTGTATTCTAGGGATCCCATGAGGTGCACTCTTGTGCACTGGGGCCCATTGAGGTTTGTCACAGGGCTCCCCTGGCTGCTTGTGGGGCAGGGGTGGGGAATATCAGGTTTGTCCCAACCTTCAACATGCTTTAAGCATGTTCCAGAATCCTCTGCCAAGTGGACAGGAAGTCAGTTGGAGGTGAGGAGGAAAGGATGGTGGGAGGTTCTACGAGGCAGGAAACAGACCCAGGACTTGTGGCCAAGAGGTCCACCTTGCTTCTCCCCCTGCCCCTCCAGTGCCCTGTCCCATCAGAAGGGGCTGTGGCAGTGTCCCAGTGACATCCTGTCCTCAGAAAGGATCATTTCTCAGGATCTGCTTGCTGCTTAGGGCTGGAATTTAAATGAATAACTGTGACCTTGTGGACGTGCCCTAGTTATGCAGAGGCCCGGGGAGGAAATAGGCCTCTTGCTCTGGTCGGTCAGAGCGCTGGCAGGTGCTGGAGGAGGGGCTCCTGTCTGCCAGGTCCCAAGGAGGATGCTCTGCTGTTGGGGACTGCCAGTTTCAGCTGGAGCCTTCCTCTACCTGCCCTGGATCTTTCTCCTTGTCATCTTGAAACTGCCCTGAGGGGAGAGCACCTGAGGGTCTGTCCTGTGCCCTACCTTGTGCTGTGTCCCAGGCTGAGGACTGAAATCAGGAACTGGCCTGGCTTGGCTCTGTGGACAAAGCTAGGATGCCCTAGGAGCTCCACGGGGTGCCCATAGCATCAGTGTCACTCACAGGTTCATCAGACAAGCAAGTGTCCCACCCCCACTGAGTCAGAAACTATGCTTCCTCAAGACCTCTGGTATGTCTCCGTAGGGTTTGACACAGTCTGGCCT